TTGCCTTTTCCGCTTGTGGCAAGTCCTTGCATCAGAGATCCAGGAGGGCAGCGATTTCTGCCATCGTCGATGCTGTGACAACGGGCTTATTCGATGGGGATATAAACACAGTGGAGCGTGTTTGGCAAGCGCTAAACCGCGAGAGGGACGCTGCCCTTCGCTGCGATGGCAAGCACAACTTTGGTTTGGCATGCCGGGGGCGGGAACGACCCAGAACCATGTGGATCTCCAACGAACGCCGAATCAGAATGCACAGTTTTGGGCCAAATATTAGGCAATTTCAGGGGGCCGTCAAAGGTAGTGGGGTTAGGTATTTTTCACAAAAATTGGTAGTCAAGGGTTTTGGGACCCAATCTTTTCGATTCTGGCCTTTGTTAGTATTTTTGAAGCGGTTTAGATGACGAAATTTATCTTTGAAATAGAGGACAATTATTCCTGGACGGAGGAAGTATATATATATATATATATATATATATATATATATATATATATATATATATATATATATATATATAAATACACGTAATAAATAAATGCACATATACACATATATGCAAGCTAAAAAATAAGTACGCTTCACCGCACCGCACTAAAAAGCGGTAGATACGCTGCAGACGACGCAAACCTTGTGACCCCGCCCGTTCTGAGAATGTACAATCACTAGCGACGAGATTGCACATCAACGGCGGCCGCATGTCCATCCACAGTGTGTCTTGTTCTGAGAGCTTCTGTTGAACTGCAAGATGCACGAGCTCATACGGGAGGTGGACCGCGACAACGACGGAAAGATTGACTACAAAGAGTTCTGCTACATGATGCGAGGCGGCGACGGCACGGCAGACGCTCTTTCGCCAGCTGCTGAACCGGAAGAAAATGTGACTGAAGGCTCAAAAGAAAACTGACAAGGCTTTAAGAAGGATTTTCTTTCCTACCGAGCTGGTCTTTAGGTTAGGTTCTGGAGATATGTTGGGTTGGGAGCTGTGGGCCTGACTGGGGCTAGGTGGACTTCGGGCGCATCTCTGCGATCACCGCCACGTCAGCGCCGCTCCACTGTGGCTGGAGATCTTTGTGCGGTGTCTCTCGTTCCTTCAGTTTTGTTCCCTCATTTAGATCGCAGCCGAGCCAAATTCAAGCAGGAAGGGAAGCTCAAACAGGAGAGGGATTTGTGCGTTTTAAGAGGACGCAGATCTGATTTCGGGCTCAGCAATCGCAGGCGGCAAGTCGGTGTCTGAGTGACGTCTGTGAAAGCCACTGTCGATTAGCGAAGCATTTCTGGCTCTGCCAATGATGGCAGAGTGGCAGAGTGACAGGGTGTCCCAAAATCTAATCCATTGTTATCGTACGAAGCGACGAAAGTTTTGTGATATTGTAATTTATTATCTGGGAAATGCGACAGGGGCTGAAGCGCCTAAGGGAGTGGCAGATGCTCTAGCCCAAGTTTGGTTGTTTCCATTGGTAGACTGCTTCAGCAGAATGTTGAAAATAGTGGCCACTTTGAGAAACTATGAGCGCAATGAACTTCACTTTTCTGCAACCTTTTGGCCTGGCGACGCCCTCCTGTTGCCGTCCAAGCACGACCCATGTCAAATAATTAAATGTTGAAATGCAAGAACTGCAAAAAAATCAAATATTGCCCAAAACAAAGGATTTTTGTCTACATTTAGAAAGGGCTGGGCAGCATATTACTGCTGACGCAGCTGGAGCTCTGCGTGCTCTTCGGTATGGCCGCATTTCAGCACGATGCAGTTCTCTTTGACATCTTGTAGCATCTTTCTATTATCCTGGTTTTAGTGTCATCATTTTGGGGCTGCTGCCACCTGCTATAACAATTCAATGCACTGAATGATATACAGGCTTACAAGAAAAAATTCACCATTTGGCAAAACTACATATCCTCCTTGATCGTAGCGAAAAATACTAAATGTCCTGTATCAATACTTCAGTCTTCGTTCAATCCGATCAGTACCGTGCAATCTAAGGACACACTGCGAGTCAGAGCATACAGCAGCAGTGGCGGGGACAAAACAAGAATATGATGGCCTCTAGCGCCTGTGTTCATTACTGTTGAGTGGATATTTTGCAGCTCGGGGCAAATGGTGGAAACGTGAATAGTAAATGCATCATAAATGAACTGTGGATAGATATTGGATTTGAACCACATGCAATTCAAACGCCTTGGCCTAGGGTGCTTCCCTCGCTTGGGCTTCTGGCGCAGCGGCATAGACTTCCCCACACACCCTACACACTGTTCCTCTATGATTTGTATTGTACCGACCTTGTTTTCGAAAGATGTATTATGATGACCAACATGTTAGGCCCATCACTTCTGGGCCTGCTCGCGGGAGGTCTTCATGCCGATCACATAGCTCGCCGCATGGGATGATGCTTGCAGGCCACTGTCGCTTTAGGAGTCTAGATCACAGGCTGAGCGTGGGTGTGGACCCGGTGAGTGCTTTATTACCATCTCCACATGCCATGGAGATCTGCCTTCAGACGATCCTCTATGAGAGAATAATATCGTCTATCGATAATGTCGTTTCCGTCGCTGCCAACAATGCCACAATGTGAGCCGATCCATACCGTCGCGTATTCAATCCTGGCTTCTGACACTGACTGCTCCTCAGTCGAGAGGGAACGCAAACTACTGCTGGAATTCTTTGAACAGGCATTGGCTCTGCATGGTCTTGGACTGCTCCAGGACACCCTTCCACTTCTCTACTTTCGCTCTGCACTCTTGAATCAAACCGTCCTGCCAAAACAGCATCCCCCGCGTTCACCAACGAGCCCTTCATCGCAAATACGCGCTTTCGAGGTGCGTCTCAAGGTGAGCTACTGAATGCGTGAGCGAGCAACTTAGCAAACTCGGCGTTTGAGATAAGTATCATATTTGATAATGTTATAACATTATATTTGAAAATATTTGATAAAGATTACATTGTGCAGGTTTCACACAAAAACTTCAGGAATTGGCATAAGAGCTCTGCTGTTCTTGCTCCACAGAAGGTCATTGTTTGGATTGCAATAGGAGCCATCTAATACCCAACATCGCCTCCAAGGTGCAAGGGCAGTGTTTTGCCATGTTTATGTGACAAATGTCGTCAAAGGATTTGAGGAGCCATCTGGTGCCTGGTTCATGAGATGTCCCCCTTGTGCCCACTTGCCTTTTCTCTCAACTCTTCCTGAAGTTCGTCGATTTCCTGAAAGCAGCCGACCCAGAGTCCATCTAAGTTGGATGAAAGGTGGCCTAATGAAATGTGCTTCAGCACAATGTGGAAACGACACAGTGGTCAGCGTCAAATGCCTCTATTGAGTTCAGATCGGACAGAAGCAATCGTTTTCTGTGTCTACAAGGACATCATACTGCTTTTCCATCAAAGCAACGCCAAATCCCCAGTTCACACACGCACACGAAGTACACAGGTCCCCAGACAGGAACAATCTAGGAAGCCCCATGTCTGCGAAAAGGTTGTTTGGATGCCAACAGGGGCTGTCCAAGGTGAACTGTCAGCACCCTTGAGAGTGAATGTGCTGCCTGAGAATCATGCAAATTCCTCAGCCCCAAACACCACAAACCACAAAGCAATGACCCACATCACAAGGAACATTTCTTGTGCCACGACTTTATGGCTGCCTTTGAGTGCATTCAGAATGTGCAAGGAAAGCTAGCAAGGTACCTAGTCAGTCGAGCAGGACAAGTGCACTGGCCAGAAATGTGCGCAGGCACCTGTTTCAACTTCTGGATGGTGCTTAATTGTGGCGGTGCTGCCTCAAAGGTGTGCAGATGGTCGTCTAGTTTGGACGCAGAATCGAAGAACGCCTTTGCATTTTCTGCCGCTGCAAAGGGGCCTCAATGGCATCAGCATGCATTTACTCGAGTCCAGAATGTTGCATCAGTCAATTAGCATGCCACAGGGCTGCTAAGGAAGCATGGATCACCTGAACGAAGATGGGCAAATGTACCACTGACCCAAGATCCTGCACAATGACTGATAGGAACTTTGGTGCCTGTCACCGCCTGAAATTTACAGGGCCTATGCATTGGTTGCCTTGACAATTGGATGCCACACATTTTACACTTGCAAAGATTTCACCAAGAAGGCCATCTTGTACTTGACATTGCAATATTGTTTATCCACTGATCCACAACCCAATACGCATTTTGCTTCAGAAGGAGGTACCTATTGTCTGTCAAAGTTTCCTTTGTCACAATGATACTGTGGCCCACAGCCCAAGTCGATCCACTACTTCAAGATACTTTGGTGCCCTGCACTTAAGAGTGCAAATTTGATCCCACTCCACTCACAAAACATCTTTGTCAACATCCACAGGCTGAATGAGGGCCTCGCGGACAACTTAGCTCAGGAAGGGGCCCAACTGCATCAAGAGCATCCCTTCAGTGCAGAAGTGGCTTGCTGTAATGGGAACCACACCGCTGGAATGCATAACCTGTTCAGCTGTCAGTGCGATCCAGATCCACACAGCGAGCTGGCAAAGGGATCATAGCCACGACCAATGCGCTAACAACGTTGAAAACTATCTGTAAGATGCGGTCTGAAGGAAATTTGCTTTCCGACGTTCACGCACCATACCATCTGATCGACCACGATCAAGACGAATATGGAAAGCGGCGCCAGCGCGCCCTCACCCTCAGCTCACTGCTCTTTGCTCGACATCTTTCTGGGGGCCAAATGGAACCACGACTGGCTTTCGCCATTCCGTTGCAGCGCCACCGCCCAGGGAATTATCAACAGGGCCACCACACACACAGCCTACTTTCAGCTTTGCGGACTGCAAGCATCACGTGCGTGAGGACGCGCACAGGCGCTCCTTCACCATCCGCCCGATGCCCTTGCTCTTCGCCGCGTTCGCGCCGATTCCTCCTCTTCGCGGGCAACACCGGCGACACGGCATTATCGTTTTACGCTACCGCACAGTGCCTCGCACAACTCTTGCTCAGGAGGCCGCGCCCCTCGCACGACCTGTTTCTCGTTCCCCTTCACCGAATCTCACCCTCCGCCTGAAGCTCCTCGTCGGTCTGGCGCCGATCGGCAGCCGCGCTGATGGCCTGCTCAGTGGGCACCATCTTGAGGAAGCACTCGTCCATCTTGTCCACGAGATGCAGGGCCTCCTCCAGGTCCAGCCTCGCCTGGGAGGCCATGCTGGGCGCCCGAAGGTCGGAGGACGCAAGGGCTGGGTGCTGTGAATTTCCGCCTGGAGGCTTCGGCGCTGCAAGCACCAGTGCTCGGTGGGCCCTAGTACTTGGCGCAACAGCACGAGTGCCACCACAGGTACTAGGTACTGAGGGTCATGCCGTCAATTTCAGGCAGATGGGCCCTGGGCTCGATATAGTAGGGAGTGGAATGTAGGCTGCCTACCTTGGCTAATTCCCTTTGAGTGTGCGGAGTTTCACAGCATGGATTCTGCCCATTTAAACCATTCAGCTTGCGAAAACCCGGGAAAAACCGGGAATGACAATGATTGGATCGGCGGCAATGATATTGCTTCATCCCCAAAAGTTTGGCAGTTATGATTTGGGGCCTTGGAAAATCCCATCAAAGCATCTCCAACAACGCTCATAACTTGACCAGATGTTTAAATTTGTGTCGATTTCGACCCGCCTGATTTTTGGATCAATCGGCTGAGTACTGAGAGAGATGTGATCCCTCCAACATGGGCATGTCAGACCAAATGTCGTCCAAGTCTCGTTGTGGCGCAGAGGTAGGCAAATTTATCTGTTACGTTATTTAGGATGCGCCAACGTCCGGCCTTGCACCTCTCCAGCTCTGCTCCGATCTCCAGACCGAAGAGTGTACGCAGCTCTCGCTTCTTTGCTATGTAATGGTGGCTCCCAAGTCACCATGTTCACGGGCCGTTTAGGACATCTGGAGATTTGGTCCAACATTGCCATGTATAAGGGGCCACATCTCCCTCAGTACTCGGCCGACTGAACTAGGAATTTTGTGGGTCAAAATTCACACAAATTCTAATATCTGGTCGAAATAGGGAGCTATCAAAGATGCCGTGAAGGGATTTTCCAAGGCCATTACTGCCTCAATTGCCATAATTGCCATCCACTTTGGGGATGGAGGAAGTACTGATTACCCAAAATTACTAATGATGACTCATGCTCGAAAATAAGTCATCTACAACTTCCAATGGACCATTTAAAGTGTTCGAAATAGTCCAAATCAGCTGTCGAAATGCCTCAAGCACTATAGTTCTTAGCCACCTTGAGGCTTGCATGACAGTTTGTCTGACATACCGTGATTGGGGGGACATATCTCCCTCAGTACTTATCAATTTGATCCAGAAATTTGGTGGATCAAAATTAACGCAAAATCAACATCTGGTCAAAGTTTTAACGTTATTGAAGATGTTGTGATGGGATTTTTCAAGGCCACAAATCATAGCTGCCAAACTTTTTGGGATGGAGGAAATATAGAGCACTGCCTCGCCAGTTGTTCAATCTACTGCAAGATTCAATAGTGTGCTTTTCTCGCTTCAGCAATGCTGAGCGGTTGTCCACGCCATATTTCTGACTAGTCCATGGTCTTGTGTAATCCCCTTAGTCGACTTATGCCGATCCTGTGCCTACATTTGGTTCAGTGGTGATGCGATTGATGATGAATTTAAAAGTAGAGAAATTGACAAAAGGCGTTCCTTTCCAAGATATTGTGACAAAAGGGGGTCCTCTGCGGCGGTGCAAATGACAAGAGGGGGCCCTCTGAGCGCCCCCATACACTAGAGGCGCCGCTCATCCGCTGCCAATCCGGCGCCAGACCGCACCGCTGTCCTAATAGGGGCGACGCCGCAGAGGAACCCTTTGGTCATTTGCACCCCCGCAGAGGACCCGCTTTGTCTTTTTCCCTGTTGGGGTTTGCTGGTGTTCACGACGCCATATGCACGGCTGCCTCTGCGATTGATGTACCACTTAAACCTTACAACTCGAGTCAGGTGAAAATGAGGCGCACACGCACGAGCTTGCCCCATAAGTACCCCGAACCAGAGCTGCCAAAGGAAACACGCAGATTTTGAAAATAACACAGCTCGAAAAATGGCAGCCTGCCGCGTCCGGCCTAGCCAAAAACATAATCTGCATGCACCTCATTTCATCACAACAGTTGTCAGCGACCTTGTCCATGGAACGCACCCCATTAATCGCAAATCGCACAATTCTGCGGCCGCCTGAAGAGTGTGCAAAGCGATGATCGCGTCTCAATCATCAAACATTGCAGGAGAGCTCACCAAAAAAAACAAAGTACTGCCTTGTGATCTCATAATGACATGCTCCAATTTTAGTACAAAAGTCGCCACAAAAGTGCAAGAATCACACTAAAAGTAGGTATACATACTGTGAGCACGCATGCGCACTTAAATTGAGTGATTTAATGCAGGTCAACTTGATTTCTTGAGCACATGCTCGGGAGCTCAAGCAGCACTCTCACTCCTTTGTCTTAGGCAGGTGAGCATGCACTTTCTTTTTGCAATGTCCAGAATCAACTGAATGTCAAGAGAGGGCAATGATTTCGAAAAAATGAAACTGGGATCAAACGCCATCTTTTGGTATTTTGAGGCAAAATCGTTCCCTGATGAGTATTGTAATGGCAACATAATCAGGTCATTTCTCACAGTAATTCTCGTGTTTTATTGGAGATCATTTGCGCACTGTTATTGAATACACCAAGTGCAGAGGTGGCTATTCAAATGAAGTTGCAAACACCCCACAAAACCTCCCAACACGCCCAACAGGCAAAAAGGCAAAAGAGATCTTCTACGGGGGTGCAAATGACAAAAGGGGGGCCGTCTGCGGAGTCACCAGTATTAGGGCCGCGGTGCGGTCAAGCGCCGGACCGGCAGCGGAATGGCAGCATTTCCAATGTACAGGGGGCGCTCAGAGGACCTCTTTTGACATTTGCGTCCACGCAGAGGACCCCTGTTGTTGCAGAATACCCCCTTTGTCAAACTATATTGGGAAGAGATCCCTTTTGCCATTTCCCTTTAAATATATACTTCCTCCGTCCTAGATTAATTGTCGTCTATTTGAAAGGCTAAATCTATTATGAGGACAGCCTCAGAATTTCAAAACAAGATCAAAATCGAAAACATTGCATCTCAAAACCTTTGACTATCAATTTTCAAGAAGAAAAAGTGACATGACTCTTTTGAGCGCAAGGCGAAGGTAAATTTTGGTCATTTTTGACCCCAAATATTGAGATTTACTATATAAAAAGAGCCTTGATAGAAAGTACTGCCAAATCCTCAATACTTAATGGACTGACTTGCAATTTTCATGGTGTACTCCCAACTCAAAAACACAACCGTAGACGAAATTTCATTGAAAACAGGTGCAAGAATGATGTAGAAATATTGCCCCAAAGTCATAGATACAATTAATCTAGGACGGAGGAAGTAATTAGCTGGACACCTGCACATATACACACATACATGCGCACATATGTTGGACCAACCCGACTGTGTTGCACATTGCATATTGCACCAGCCACAACAGATGGTCGGCGCCTTAAACGGCCGTCGTATCCTTGTTGGTCTAGTCAGATATATCCTCGGGGAGTATGGTCATCAAGTGCGGCAGTATATCATCATAGTTGAACCAAAGGCGGGCGCTAGCCTCAGCGCAATGCACAGCAACGTGCACAGACGGCGCAGTTGTACACATTTACACAAGCAGAAATCCTTGCAGACACATAGTCGCATAAATAGAGCCTCTGTAGGCCATGTACAACAAGCCCTGGGCCAACCATAACGTCCAGAAAAGGCCAAGATGCCAACCACTTCCAGCATTCTGTTCCATCATGAGCCCGTGAATGATGTCACAGCTTGTGGAGTACTACACATTCAAAGAAACCACCATAGCATGCACAGAAACAACAGTGAATCAGTGGTACGTCCTGTGGCACCCCTTGCACCCATGGCGGGCTTGAAAACGTGTTGTGCCAGCCCTCCTAACCGCTCTCCAAGACACATCACAGGGGGCCATCCCAAACAAGCATCCAATCCAGTCAGCCAATCCGATCAACAACTCCGAAGAATTCACCTCCAAACGTTGGGTTAGCTCCACACAAGCGCGCAGCTCCGCTGAACTGCCCATCCTCCATGCAATGTGTTGCATACTGGCAAACCGCAGCACGGCCGATCTACCTCAAACTCATAGATCCTTGGAGCGCTCAGCTTGCACCCAGTCTCCCACGCCCCTTAGGCCTTGCAGCCTTGTATGTTGAGAGTTTACAGGGCAGAAAAACACCAAAAAGCAAAGGAGAAATACAAAAAGCTGTGCGCGAAACGCACTTTGGACCATTCTTTATGACTCCCAGTCCATGACTCAGGACACTATCTGGCTCTAAGAAGGTACGCAAAAAGGTATCCCACCTTGGAGGTGAGGTCAACACTCCACTGTCTGCCAGTTCACCCCAGCTATGCTGATCAGATCCAGTTATGTTCTGAATTACTGCCACCATGATCATCCACTCAGCTCAGTTCCCAAATCCTTCCTACCATGCTCGTCACTGCCTTCCAGACACAACGTCTGCGATCAATCATGTTCTGGCAAATGCAATCAGAAGTTGTTGGACTAGATCATCCCTGCTCAGAATCATCCCTGCTGGGAACCATTCGCTATCAACCCCCTTAGCAGATGCAGGAAAAACACTCCCCATTAAATTCGTGGAAGGGTCAACCACACCCAAACATAACCTTGAAACTTGTTTTCAAGGCATTCCCCCTGGCGGGCTGCCCCTCATATGTCCCACCCAGGCCCACAGCATTCACGAGTTCGCTGATCTTCTCTGATACACGTGCCTCATTCGTTCCCCTCTAATGCCCAATTTGATGTGCATCACTGGATGCACACCACGCATCATTGCCTCCAAGGCGCAAGGGCACCACTTTGCATTTTCGAAGGCAATTCTGAACAATGGATTCCAGCATCGCCAGCCACCAAGCCCATCCAACATGCCCAATCAATGGCACCTCTGGCACAGTAACCACAGCCACCCAACATGCTTTCTCTCCCATGCTGCTCAAGGTGCATCGTTAGTTACCACAGCCTACCAACATGGGCACAGCTTACGACACCTGCTCAACATGCCCGTTCAATAGCTCCTCCAGCAGCCCATGCATGTACAGCTATCCGTGCCTCCCAGGTTCAAGGGCACTGCTCAGTCTTGTAATGCCAATGGAACAAAGGATGCTCAATCCCATCGTGCACACTCCACTGCACCTCCAGCAGCACCAACATCTCGCTCCTCGACCACCACAGCCAACCAACGGCCATGCTCCAAGGGACCCGGCAGAGGGCACCGATCCGTCCTGTCCAAGACAATGTTACCAAAAGGATGTCAACTCTATGGAATCTCCAACAGCGCCAGGATCTCGTTCCTCTCACACTCCCCCAGGGGCAGCTCGCACGTCCGCCCGCGCGCTGTCTTGCCGTCGCTGTCCTTCAACGACAAGTCGGCCCCGGTCGCCACCAGCATGGCAATGAAGTCCACGTGGCCCCACGAGGCTGCCGTGTGCAGCGCTGTGGAACCCAATTCGTCCTGGGAGTTCACATTGGCGCCCGCTTCTATGAGCGTGGTGCCCATGGCCACGTCGCCGTTGTTCGCAGCGATGTGGAGCATGGGGAAGGTGCGGTCAGTGTGGTCAGGGTCGGCGCCAGCGAGGAGGGCGTCTCTGGCATCGCCTTCCTGCCTGCCCAGCACGGCTTCTTGCAAAGCCTGCGAAAGAACACAACACAACGCTAGATTCTGCAGATGCTCAACTGAAATGCATGCATATTGCAGAAATCGGTTACAAACCTATTAAGCTGCTTCTGAAGTATGTTACAAGCTTTATGAGGGGCTACTGTGGGTATACTGACAGCGCACATATTTGTTGCACACCAAACAGACTGCCCACAGATACGCGATTTCAGGAATCTCAAGCTTTTGTTTCCCTGAACATTGCAACACATTTTCTTTGTGATGCAGTATTTTGGAGTTAATTAAAAAATCTGAAGTTGTGTGGAATGGGCAGCGCTGTGGCAGTGGGTTCCAGAGGATAGGAAACAAAGATACATGCCAAAGGAAGATTGGAAGAAGCCATACAAAAACAAACAGATACACTCAGAAGCAAGCAACAGCGCATGCCACGCAACCTGAGCAACTGCACCGACGACAGTGACAGCCGCCACATGCACAGGTGGCCTGAAGAGACCACATTTCAGACAAAGATCATTGCACCTGTCTGGCAGGTGGTTGCTTTCGGTCGCATGGGCTGGTCAACTGACCTTGTTGAGTTGCTCTGTGTCCCTTGCTTCATCCTGGGGCACAGCAGACAGTACACTTACCAGCTGCTTTGAGAACAACGACAACAGCCAACAGTGAGTGCCTGAACCACAAGAAGTGCTTACATGGCTCTTTGTTTGTGCTCCTGCAATTCACTGCCTTTACTCCAACAGCTGGAATATATTTTCCCACCTTCATAGAATCACTGTTTCTGGCATGCCAACGGGTCCAAGGGTTGCCATCATTCGTGAAAACAGCACCAAAAGCCACTCAGACTCAACGCCTGAGGCCCTTTTTGAAACAAGTTACACTAGATACACAAAGTACATATAGTACATACAGTACTATAGCTATGCAACATATACTAAAAACTGATTTTCAGCAATTTATCACTGTTTCACAGCAGATACAAGCTGTGTGAAATGAGTAATTTCTTGTCATTGCATTTGACAACCACCAGCAGGGGAGAAAACATGCTCATGGCAAGGGAAGCAAGGGATTAGTAGAGGGGGATCCTGCCACAGTACTTTGCCATTGAGCTGCTTTGAATTGCAAGCTGACATCAGGACATGTGGGGGTATGGAGACAGTATGACTAAGCAAATGAGTTCAACGCTCAGCACAGTGGATCGGAATTGAATCGAATCAAATCAGGTCAGAAAACACACCTTCAGAAGTTCCTTAACGATCACTGACTCTTGGTCACCTTGGTTCTGCACAGGCCAGGAAGGTCAAAAATGAGCAGTCTGAAAGCACACATCAATCTGTGTTGTTCTGAATCCGTTCCAGCATGCACAACCACCTGGTCTACATCTGTGATCAGCTTGTTTTTGGTTTATTCGGCAGACAAGAGAGAATTGCATGCATTGAAAGACAAACATGGAGGGCTTATTGTTAGGGCACATTTGATGCAAAAGGAAACAACTGAGTGTAAAATGGCACAGTGTTGCAGATTTCCAAAACACTCTCCATAAGAACAGTGCAAATAGAGATCAAGGCAACAGCACTGCAGAGGATTCTGGGACATGTTTGGTAGTGCGGGCGGAGCTGGCCTGTTGCAATCATATTCCACACCTCCAGCATACTTCAACATGCGGCACAAGCATCTGGGCAAAACAATGTCTTGAACCAGGGTCAAAAGACTGTTCTCACACTGTGACTTAAATTTTAAATACGCTGGTGGAAAATGGCACAAAAACCCGACAAGGTCACCTGATTTAGTACATTTTCAATGTGGCACACTGTTCATACAGAATTTCCACAGCTTGAAACAATTTAAACATGAACTGGAATGGTGTGAAATCAGCTTGTTCTGCTGGCGATGCTCTGACCCAGTGCTTCTGAAAATCAGGCAAGGCAGCAGGCACTGCACATTGGTCAGTCAGTTCTTGTCCCCCTCACCGCACAAGAGATCCACAGGGCCCCAGGGAACAGGGTAGAGTCTCTGGCGATCGAGCAGAACCCCTCGCTGGACTGGACATAGCACAGGGCAGCACCTGCCTCTAGCCGCCTGGTGCATCCACCCAAGCCTGTTTCCACCCCTGCGCTGATGCCATCCTCGGAACAGGCACAGTCCTGCAGGGCAAGATTTGTTAGGAAGAGAATGAAAAACACGTCAACAGGCACCCCCTCCTAAGCAAGTGTGGGTGAAGACTCTGTGCTGTGGTGTGAAGATTGTCAGCATGCATAGCCCTAAGGGGAACAACAAAGCAGAACAAACAAATTCCTTGGATGTGGTCATTTTTCAAAGAAAAGGATTGGACGTATCTTGGTGCTCTGTGTAAGGTCTGAACAATCAATGAAGCTCGGTTGATATACACTGATATTTCTGATGCCCTAATGTAGTGGGAGCAAGACAAAAGTGTACCAAGCTTCACTTTTGTGTTGTCCATGTTTAAAAAATGCCATCCAAGCCCTGCAGGGTGACATGGGGCTGTTCTAGCCAATTTGGTCCCCTCATTCGTTTCTGTCCACACAAGACTGCCCCACAGTCAAGCCCATCCCATGGATCAAAGTAAGGGAATTGGGATGAAGGCAATTTGAAATTCTGCTCAATTGGCTTCTTGAATTATCACCATGAAGTCTATGATGCCAGCAACTGTCAGTAACCAAGAGATGGCATGAGATCCAAACAACAGCTGACATGACATGGGTGGAGCCTGAGTGTGTGAATGTCAACAAAATAGACGACACAAATTGCAAAAAACACCTTACATAAATGATCTTCATGGGCAAAGCGCACAAAGTCTGTGGGAACCTCTCAATACAAGCTAATAAACATACAAATCAGCCCATTGATCCATATATCACGTTCCGAAAACAGCAATATGCAGGGAACTGCATTGTCGGCCATCTGGCTGGCTATGGCAATGCTGTATGATGAGTTGACCCAATCTCCCTTTGCAGGATGGGCCGCAGAACATCTCAGCCGCGAACCATCTGACAAGTTCTGGTCAGACTCTCCAGAGATATTCAGAAAGAACAATCGGTGGCCGATCCAGGTCCAGCGTAAAGTGCAGTGGCGCCAGACTTCCCCAGAAGCAAAAGCCGCTTGTTACAGAGTCATGCCTACCGGGGCCGTCCCTGGAGCATTCTCCTCCTCAGGTTCCTCCTTGGGTGAAGGTGGGGATGGTGACTGGTGAAATACAAGAAAAGTGTGTTAAGCATGGCCAACAGACTAGCTCCTATGCCATTCACCTGTCAAAATCGGTACAAGACATGACATTGCAACGATGTGCTTACAGTATATTAGGTTCATGAAGTATTTCAAGCTCATGATAACCCACCATAGGCCATAAGGCAGTGCTGCATTCTTATTGCTCAAAGTCATGAGCTTTTGGCTTTGCGTACATTAAGTCCCAAAACACAAAGTAGTGGAAGTGCCTGCCTTCTGGCAAAGAGCTTACAGTATTGACACAAAGTCCCAGCTGTGCGAACATCCCAAGCACGCTCTTGGACCACTGCACAGTTTGTCACAAGTCCAAATCATTGCTGCATGTTGTTGCTGATGCAAATATAATGGAAATGGACTCCAACCAGGCTGCCAGGCATGCACTCACCTCCGGAACCTCTTCAGGAGGGCCTTCTGGCACCTCAGGCTCTAGAGGTTCTGGAAGTGGTTGAGCCTCTGCACGCTCCTCAGGTTCTTTGGGCTCGGCTGGCTCTTCAGGCTCAGCTGGATCTTCAGGTTCGTCAGGCACTTCAGGTTCAGCAGGCTCTTCAGGGCTTGCTCGTTCTTCACGCACCTCTGCTTCCACAGGATCTCCAGGTTCTGTGGGCTCCTCAGGTTCAGCAGGCTGTTCGGGTTCCACAGGCTGTTCAGATTCCGTTGGCTCTTCAACTTCTGTGGGTTGCTCAGGTTCAGTGGGCTCGCCAACTTGTGCAGGCTCTTCAGGCCTGTCCGGTTCCTTCAGGAGACACAGACAGCTTGCCATCATACACTGGTGCAGATCATGTTGCTGTTTGTCACCTGGGGTGTCTGGCAATGAAGATTTACATGGAAGGTGGGTTGGAAGATGCTGGTGAATTCTTGTAGGTGCCTTTGGGAGGCTCCTTGGACAGCACTAATACAGTCTACATTCCATGTGGAGCCACATAAAGCCAAGTCACTTGCTGCATCTCAAAACTATATCAAACGTGATAATTTGTGGCATTGCCACATCTGGTCCCCTGCGTCTTGCCAGCCCCAAGCCCATGCGAAGCAAGAAGGGTGCCATTGTGCAAGAAGGCGTACAGCAATCAAGGCCTCTGTGCAATCTTTGGATTGCATCTTTGGCCACACAAAATTCGAGATTGAACAAAGATGCTTGTGATGCCGCCCTGTGACACCTGGAGGCGTATGGCCCAGGCACTGTCAACTGCTGACAAGATGTAGTTGCAGACAAACAGTGCACGATGCACCCAGAGATGGTATGGGAGATGTGCACATTCTTCAACATCCAGCTTTACATGCTTGTGAATAGTTCATCGGATGAACAAGCAGAGCCTAACTTACACACAGCCATATTCTAATGCCAAGCATGCTCTGTGCTGAACAGCAATCGAATCTGTCTAATAAGGACACAGTGCAGAGTGAAGAGATCGTGGCAATATGCAACAAATCAGTTCCAGACAGATCAAGAGCAAACTACAAACAGATCACCATCAACACCATGTGGAATTTGATGGCATGTCTGTCCCTCAACTTGATGAAGAGCAAGTGTGAATAAGGAAGCAAAATGCTACAGCACATACAAGTACAACAAGTCAACAAAATTGAAACAGGGAAGCTCTGAGCAAATCATGTAGGATTGTACACACGACGCCTTGGGGGCATGATGATAACGCCTGATGGTGCAAGGACAGTGTCTTGTCATGTCTTGTGACGAATGCAGCAATCGAGAAACACGCACAAGCCTGAACGGACATCTGATCCTCATAGCACAAAGAGCTTTCTGTGTGTCATAAGGATGTGATGCCTCACCTCATCAGCCTCTTCTGATGCTTCTTCCTGCACACAACACACATCGAGCAGTCAACGTCCAAGACACCTGATGCCAACCAAATACTCCCTACAATGAAATAACGTGCATAAACATGTACAACACAAAAGATAATTGTTAATTGTTTGCTCAACATTAGCCAACCACTGTTAGCTAACCACTACATTATTCCATTTCCTACAGTCGCCCAGTCTTCAATCGATCTTGTCCTAATTCATGGAAGCTATCAGCATGCAAAAATTCCTCAATCACTGGCATGGAAAGATTGTGCACAGTGTGCACTGCACACGGCCTTCAGTAATTCACCAGCAAGAAACTGCAAGCACTGGCCAAGTTTTGGCAGCACGTCATGCTTTGCATTCGTGGTCCATTCTGGCTCTCTCCAGTGCCAAATAAATTACACCAGACAGCAAACAGCACAGAGTCAGTTTTGCGGTTGCAGCCAACACAAACTCAAAACAAACAAAGAATAGATAAGTGTACATTAATAGGTATGGAAATGCTGAACAAGTGTAGAACTCATAAACAAACAGTAAGCAGAAATTCAAAAAATGTCGATAGTGGATATGATACACAAACATAAAATCGATGTACTCACCTCCATGACAGATTCTATCCACTCGATGAAGCTTGTCACCCTGGTGTACACCGCTGGCACTGCGGACTCTCCACAGGCCTTCCTCTCCCCAAACGACGTGATGCCCACGACTTTGTCAATTTCGGGGTCACCATCTGCGATCTTGCCGCCCGGTTGAAAGGGCACAAGCAGCGGCCCACCGCTGTCCCCTGGAAGTCACAGCAGAAAATATAGTCGCTGTTCTGCTCATGTGTTCATGGCCATCGCATTTCAGATGCGCCGTCCAGCGAAGCAATCAAAGTTCAGTGAACACAGTCCACACAAAGGCACAAAATACCAGCAGTCAAATGCGATTTAGACCAGGAATTGGCTTGTCCCAATTGCAAAATTACTAGTGAAAAGAGCAAAACTAATCGTACGAAAATCTTTGTAAATGCAAAGCAAACATTTTGCCAGTGAAGGTGAGATGGTATACGTTGTGCGGTGTATTTGTTGAGATGGTGGACATGAACTCATGGAATGACACGCTGTTACCCTATAGAGCAAGACGGTGTCCGTGTATTTGAGGCGGTCATGATGAGCTCGCGGGCCATTGCAGAACAAACAGATCAACTTCAAGTCACGCAAGGGCATGTCTCACTGCGCCGTGTCCTGTCACATCGTGTTGGAGATTCGACAGCTCACCTGGGCACGTGTCCACAACAGCTTCTTTCCCAAAAGCACAAACCATCGAGTCCAGAATGATGCCGTTCCACAGAGGATTGCAGAATGAGTTTGGTATGATGCTCAACTCGTTGGTGAACTGCAGTGTGTCTGCCGGCTTGCCATCATCAGAGATGCCAAAGCCGAGGGCAGCAACATTCAATGTGTTGGCCAGTTCGTCCGGGTTGGATGCCAATTTCACGGGCACGTTTTCCGACTCGCCATCGAGCTCCACCAAGGCTATGTCATATCCATCCCCTGTTTCACCGGTGTAGTTTGGGTGTGGCACAATCTTCTTGCTGGGGAAAAGCTGCATGGCCGGCAGGACGACAATTCAGCAAAATCGCCTTGTCAGCACTCCCAAGATTGTCACATATGCACAATGAGCAAGTCTTGCTGAGCCAACTAACACTCGGGCACAGTAACTATCAGCACAATCGAAGCAGTTTCCATCGTTTGAAAAAGGTGCACGTGCAAACAGGGGAACACAAGATCACAGAAGCCAAGGCTATGCCCATGGTGATCTCATCCATTCGCTGAAACCACACCTCGACAACAAAAGTCCATCAAGATGCGAAAAGCATAGAAAACAATGCCTATATTTCCAAAGAGGGTAGCCAACAGCAGATACTATGGCCATCACAAATACCAAGCAGCACATTCATTACCAACCTACAATACTAAATTCCATAAATCAATAGTCAAACAATACTAAATTCCACAAATCAATAGTCAAACAATCCAAAACAAACAGTCAATACCATTTTTATGTGCATCATACAGAACCAGTCTTCCTTTGCACGCTGTGTGCAGGCAACACAGCACTCTGTATCAACACAAGCAGAGTTGCAATGGATTGAACCACAGTCATGTCTTATTGCTGAATTTGAATCTGCTTTCGGATTTCGGCGCCATATTCGAGCCTCCCACACTCCGTGAGATCCTTTGTCAAATCTCGTGCGACGCAAGCACCATTTCGATCCATTCATCACCCATGTGGCTACAATTCGCGATGGCTTACTCCTGCATGCCTCTCAAACACTTCCAACTGGCCCAATGCCCGACACAAATCCACAGCAAGGACAACAAATGTTTACACATGGAGAGAAAAAGGTGACGAATGTCAACCAACACTATTGTAGCAAAATACGCACAAAAAGTCGACAAGCGCATCTGAAATGCGCCTGCCTGTACCTAGGTAGCGATATTGACACCAGCCAGCACTACTGACAACAAACTGGCCGTTTGGCACAGTTCAACTTAGAATTCAAATCGTGGCAAAATTGCCGAAGACCTTGTGCTGCAACGCCAACTGTAATGGAAAGATCAAATGTGCAACATTGCGAGTATATCTTCAGTCCCATTATTGCAAGAAAAGAAAGAAATATGTCAAAGCCATACCCGATAGCAACCAAATACTGCAACTGTAACAATTTCGCCTATCAAATCGTCACCGATGTTTTTTCAGCACTGCTCTTCACCCGTGCACAGCCCCTACCTCGACGATGCGTCCATTGTCTTCTGTGCCCTTGGCATCACCCCTTGTGCACAGACCCAGAAAGATAACATGCGAGGGGTACAGCGCCGATGTGTTCTCCACGCAGTGAGCAGCTGTAAGCACCCAATGCTTGTCCACCAGCACGCCCCCACATTGGTGGTCGCCTGATAGCGTCTGCAGGGATGCCATGTACGGGAACCGTCCGCACGGTGCATCGGTACCCCCCTGGAACAGGCACAAATCTTTCTTTGTTCCTGAAGCACATCTCAGGTTTTCTGAGGTATGGAGTCATGTTTAGGAGCAGGCAATTGCATGCTCATGTTGCTGGAGGCTGGCTTCAGGTAGCCAGCACCTTTGCAGCCTAATGGTTTGCATTTGGCGAACAAGAAAGATCCAGCAACGCGCCGTTGTTTTCATCCAACACCGTGATCCTTGCACCTTCTCTGCCACATACTCCTTATTTTTCACTACAGCACTATATCCTCAGTACTTTTGTGCAGAACAGCATTTCTTGCACTCTGTGCAACACTGCATTCATTGTACTCTCCAGCAGTACTGCACTCCTTGAGACACAATGGGGGTTCAGTCCATGGCTCTGCACAACCAAATTGGACCGCCGGCTGGCAGCAACAAAGCACATACCACAATTTTGTCTTCGGTGTCTATTTTCAAAGACCTTGTGCCTCCTCTCCATCGGAATAGTTCCAGACCACCTGAAAGTCACAAAATCAATAATACAATAAATCAATAATAATACATCTCACAGGGCCCGATTTGTAGCACAGATGCATTTGTCAGAAGGACCAGGCTTTGAGAATGTACGCACTTCTCTTCATGTACTTCGAACAAGTGTGTTGACAGGTATGGCAACAGATGGCCTGGGTGGGCGACGGGCATATCTTCCGACAAACTCATTCTGCACACATACGAACACAGATTGCACAGTGGGATACATCATCCACAGCCAGAATAGAGCAAGGCTGTCTTCAGCCTATGTGCCATTAGAAGGTGAGTACTGGGGTGTTTCTTATCGCCAAATGCTGTTAGGTCCTTGAGGATCGCTGGCGATGCGATGCAGTCCATTGACCTAAGGAGCCACGTCCCATAACCAGTCTCATTTTTCAACTTGCTGCACTGGATCTATTCATTACTTCTTTCCACCATCTCCACTGTGCAAAACCATCGCCGATGCATTTGTCAGGAGACTCGCCCCACAGTTGCCTGTAGATCAACGTTGTCTCTCAAAGATACTATCATTAGAAGGGGACACTCTTCCGGGAAAAAAAAGCGGTGTGCAAGGCTCAGTGATTTACACTTATTGGTTCTAGTGCTTTACACGAGAGGGTGAGTACATGTTTCACTGCAAGCAAAGCAACAGCATGCTACCTGTTGCATTCCAAAACAAACTAGCGCAGTGATCTTGTCTCTGACACCACAATCTCTTATCAGCTCAGTCACTTCGGTTTGATTTTGGCTTGCTTTAGTTTAGATTACCTTTGTTTAGTTACTAGCCAATGTACCCAGAAACCTCAAACACAAACCATCTAAGAGACCACAATTTTCAGCCCAAAGACCAAAGACCAAGGGGCCTGTGCAAACTTTCAGCAGCTGCTGCTCACCTGCAGGGGCAATATCCCTTGCCATCACGGACAAGGCACAGGCCAGCACCAAGACCGCAAGGTGGAGCATCAAGAGCCTCCTCCCGCCCATCGCCCTAGCGCTCACCCGTACCCTTCTCCTTCAGCCTTTGCTGATCTGGATCAACAAGAATTTGCACACCGGGTCAACACTGTGGGTCAATGCATTTGCATGGTGTTTGATATGGTGAGTCAACACCAATGCATGGCGTCTCAATTTAAATGCGAGGTGCGACAATGCTGTGGGTCAATTCACCTGCGTGCTGGGTCAGCTTGATAAGTCAACGCCCTTAGGTATTGGACCCGATCCAAGCTACCAGATGAACGTTTGGAGGGGAACAATGCTGGACAGGGCAAACTGGCCCTACTAGGAAATAAGAACGCTGTTTGAAAGCATTTTGAGCACTGGCGGGTGCGACAAATATCGTGAAATGCAGAACGTGCTTTGCCCGAAAGAGCGAGCACTCAAATACAAAGAATGTGAAACTGTGAGCGACTCAATGGAGTGAATTAGCAACAGGGGAAGTAAATGTTGTCAGGCAGAAGAAACAGATGGTGCAGTGGCCACCAGTGCCAGGAATGAAAACTGTGGCATTGTTTCTATCTGTCAAGGTGATGTAAAACTCTGAGGGCAATGGGGGCAATCAAGCAGCGAAAATCGTGCCACATACTCTGCAAGATGAGATGAAAGAATTATCTTAACGGTATGGTGACTATCACCCACAGCAAACAGCGTTCAGCAACATGTAGTCCCATGCTTGAGAAGAGCAAGCAATGCCTTGGTCGAATGGTTCATATCCTCGATATGGAAAACGATTCGGGCAAGGATACGGGCACACAGGATTTGGACAGCCCACGTCCTTGATATGGGACGAGACATGGTCCACCACTGCCAAATTCAGGATATGGACCGGCCATTGGGAACACACTTCCAATGGGGAATGTGCAGCCCATCCTTCCACACCCACAGACACGGCACATATTTACAACGGGGAAGTGTGGAGACTGCATTGCCACACCAAAAGATATTATGACACACACTTCCAACGGAGGAACGCGCAGACTGCAGCCAGAGCGCCGAAACAGGCCGCACTGCACCCAGGAACATTTGTCAATGTTGACGTCAGATCGGAACTCGATGAAATTCCCAGAGGCTGGACGAGGGCGGCAGGCGTCATCCCGCCCGGCGAGATCCCAACTTGTGACCCTCCCCCAGCCACTTCCTCGAGCGGATCCCCCAAGCTCCTCGCACAACGATTTGCCTCCGCTGGCCAGCGCTGCACCCCAGCACCTCGGTAACAGTGATGGGCGCAGATGGCGCCAACATCGCTCCTCTGTTCAGCCATCCGTTCGTTTCCCGGAACGCACATGCGCCCCTGCCACCCACGATCCGCGGGCCCTTCACCCGTAGGAATTCCCACCCCAATCCTCATCCCAACTTCCCGGCAATCCATTCAGAAACCAGAACCCAAACTCGTTGCGGGTCAGCCGCGGCCAGCCCCCGGCGCCGCGTCTTGCCCCCCTCCCCTCCCCACCCGTTTTCTTGCCATTTCCGTTGCTTGCGTCGCGTGCTCATCATTTCGCGCCGTACATCCCACATCATCTTCCCACAGCATGGAAAAGCACCGCGCACACGCTCGCCTAAGGGGCTGCGCCCTCTTTACGGCCCGCTCCCGTTCCCTTTGCAACAGATCCCACCTACCCACCCCTGATCCACCCGCCCTCAGAACCGGCCTACCTCCACAGAATCGGGCCACACAATTCAGCCCCGCCGCCTGCCTTTCCCGCGCCCTGGCAAAATTCGTCACACTTCCGGGCCGCGGATCCCGCCCTGCGGCCCGGCGGCGACGCGCCCCGGGCGCCGCGCAGCTTGGTCGCGATCGGAGGCGATCACAGCGGCCGGGATGGCGTCTGGGCCGAGCGCTTGGCGTTCGGGCCGGCCACGTCGAAGCTTCGCGGGGGTCGCGGCTTGCTGGTTGCTCGAGGCGGTTAACGCGGCCCCAGGTGCTGGTGAGGTTTTTCCAGGCCCTGAGAGCCCGTTAGTACAGAAGCGGGGGGGGGGGGTAGGCTACAAGTAATGTTACTGCCCGCACTAAGTCGGCGACTGCTTGCACCAAGTCACGTGCACACTTTGTCGTAACCTCAATTTTAGGGTTAGGTTTAGTTTCAGGGTGAGTTTTAGGGTTAGGGTTAGGGTTAAGACAGGTTTAGGTTTTAGGGTTTAGGTTTCAGGTTAGGTTAGTTTGGACGGAGTTGGACATGATGTGCACGTGACTTGGTGCAAGCAGTCACCGATTTGGTGCAGCCAGTAATTGTATGCCGGTAGGCTGCGGGGGCTGGCGTCAGACTCTGTCGAGAAGCCAGGGGGGCGGGGTGTGCTGGCCATGCGGCTCTGCACGCCGCGTGCAGCAGTTCTTTTTTTTTGAATTCCAATGTATTACATCAAAAGATAAACAAAGGAACGTGCAGCAGTTCGAGGGCACAACTGCGCAGTTTTGCGTGCATGTGGGCGAAAGACTGTGATCAGCAATTAAGCGTGCTTTCCAATCTTTGGGGCACATGTGCATGTCCGCAATGTTGCTGGTCCAGCCACAGAAAGCAACGTCAGACAGCCGTGGCGTGTCAGTTGAGGGCTGGTCTTCGGGGCAACGCTTGGCGGCTGTCCGTGCAAACCCCGGCGGGTCCGGTGTGTGGTGCCACTTGCTCAGTCGCCGTGCGTCGGTCGTGGGCCGGCAACGGACAATAACTGCCCAGGGCCGCCAGCTTGTCGACACCCCCGTCGTCATGTCGCTGCTGTGGTTTATCCTGAGCTTCGGGATTTGTCTGTCCACCGTGTCTCCAGCCATGGAGTGGCGCGGCATCGCGACTGCCAGTGTGTGTTATACATAAGCACTGATCAATGTTGAGTTCCATTCACTGAATCCATAGGGAATAAGGAGGACTGGAAGAAAGAGGTGGTGCAAGTGCTGGGACAACCAACTGCCAGCTTTTATCTTCACTCTTCAGTGCGATGTGGCACGTCAGAAAGACAGAATTCCACGTCATCTGCCCACAACCCGTTGGTGCCAGCCCGCAGCAGTCCCTCCGCGTTGCTCCCCAAAGCAATCGTTACAATCAACGGAGATCAACGCGAGCGGGCAGGCCGCCCCAAGCGCGAGGGCAGCAGCCACAGTGCATGAACCGCTCAGCTCTTCTTCTTCTCACAAGATATCACCTTCACGATCCATCCACACTTTGCACGCTGCTCCATTTTCTTTCTCACTTTCCGTTTTCTTTTCCACCCAATTCTCTTTCTCTACCCAATTCCCTTTTTCTCTTTTTCAGGAGTTCGAGAGCCGCTGTCCATGCACCGTTCCAGCAACTTACAGAGAGCACATCTAAGAAGCGTGCATGGTTTCAATACAGAAAAACAGGCAAAGAAACAGGAATAGGCTTCACTGTTCCTGTTCCTGACAAGTGTTTCCGGCTGCAGGCCTCCTCACCATTTTTTCAGCAGAGGAAAGAAGAACAGCCCCTGCCCCTGTTCCTGCTCCCACTGCGCAAGATAGAATGTACAAGCCAACGTCCGTGGTCTAAAAATTGCATAAAGTCAGAAGATCGGGCTACACCCCACAAATTGCGTGTTTGAATCCGCCAATCCAAGCAGAGTGCAAATCTAGATGACAATGGATTGATTGCATGCATTGCTTTCAGACTGCAATCTCCTAAGTTTGACCCATTTCAAACCCTGTGGCCACCTGCACTCTGCTGAATCATCCAAGTTATTCACGCAGGGGACGCCAAAAGGCCTACATGCCACACAGATCAACAGACCTTTATTGTGCGCCTCAAGTTGGGGCACCAACGATTTCAGGAATGGCCACACGGCCCAAAAACTGTCTTCGCTACGGTGTCGTCCATCGCAACAACGCCCAACAGAACGCATCGGCTACAAACACGCACACAAGCACACACAGAAGGCCACCACAGCAGCAGGCCCTAAACCTGGTCGTCCCATCCTGAAAACTGTACAGCATCAAGACAATCCACCCTGGGCAATCCCCAGCCAGCCCAAGCTACCGATTCCACCCACCCACCCACACACAAACACACGCAGTGCACAGCCACCTACCGGCACGGCCCCCCACAGTATCCCCAACCTCAAACCACCTCCAAATTCCCGCTCCATCCCGCTGGAGCTCCGACCCATCTCGTTTTCCTCACCGAATCAAAGGGCCCCCCCAATCCGCCAAAATCGAGCCCAGCTCCTGCTGACCTCCGCGACGGGCTGGCAGCTGTTCCAATGGGCAGCCGAGCAAGCCACCCACCCCAATCACCACTGCGCTTCCTTGGGGGCCCCTCTCCCATCCTGGGCGACGTGCCCTCTTCGATTGACTGTGTGCTCGCCTCATGGCCGCAGCCGCTCCGAACGACAGTGCCCCCGCCACATGGCCGCATCGACTAACAGCGTTTGTACAACTCCCCTCAGAGTCACAGCGCCTCCGGCTTGTCGCACTCGCGCCAGCACAGCCTCCTGAGCATCTCCATGGACCGCCTGCGCATGTGGGTCACCACCCGCGACACCACCGCAGGCCCGCTCCCCCTCGCCAGGGCCCCGGAGCCCGACATCTTCAAGTTCGGGTTCGTCTCCAGCTCGCAGCTGGTCTCCCTGTGCCGCGACCGGCGGTTCACGCTGTCGCGCCTGTCCCCGGGCACGTCGAACGACGCCCTGCGCCGCACGCTCACGCTGTCCCTCAAATCGCTGTACAGGTCAATGGACGTCCGCCCATCGCCAACGTCACGATCGGCGGACGATCTGTCCCAGGACGGCGACCTTCCGCAGAGCAGCCGCCCGGAGTACCGCTCTGAGATTGACATGGTCGAGGCGGCGCCGTTGGGCGGCACGTCCGTGCGCGCCGATATCCCCCAGCTGCCATCCCCGTTGGAGGAGTCGTCATCCTCGCCGGGATAGGACCCGGTCCCGGTCTCCTCGGCGCTCGGCGCGGGGATCAGGATCTCGCCCATCGTGCTCAGCGGCGCGGAGGACGGCCGGGAGAGATCGGAGGGCGGGGGGGCGGGTACGAAGTTGTAGGAGTAGCCGGCCTGACGCGCGGCGCACGAGGGGTCCATGTCCCTGGGCGGGTCGCGCGGATCCAGCCCTTCCGATCCCCAGGAGCTGCGCGTCTCGGTCAGGACGTCCAGGCAGAGCGCGGACACGGCCTTGTGGTGCCGCGCCCGGCAACGCACCCCGTGATCCCGACTGTCCCTGCCGGCGGCATGCCCTCGGGAAGATCTGGGCGCCATTCGCGCAGGGGGCCGGTGCCCGCCGTCCTGCCGCGCCACCCCCCTGGCGACGATCGGGCGATCGGTCGAGGATGACGCCCAGCCGGGATCTCCCGCAACGCCCATCCGCAACGCGGACCCGGCTGAGGGCAAATAGCGCGGGTGCTCGGCGGAAGAATTGACCGATGGCGTGGGCGTGGAGCTGCTCAATCGGTTCATGTTCGCCGCGTGGCGCACGGCGGCCTCTCGAGGGGTCAATGGTAGCGATCCATCCGCGTCCTCCGCGTCCATTGCAGCCAGCACGCCGCAAGAGAGCGACCGCGCCTCGAGCTCCAGCGCGATGGACCCGCAGAGATCGGACGGCCCGGCGGGAGGCAGCGGGCCCGATCGCACGCGGGTGGGCTCGCGTTCCGAGGACGCCCTTGACCTCAGCGGAGACCATGTCCTGCGGGCGCTCCGCCGATTGCCTCCGACCGCCAATTCGACCTCCACCGCCGTCCCCGGCGACGTGCGCGCCCCCCGCTCCCCGGCAGATTCGCCGGTCCCTGGCGCCTCGCCGCCGACAACGTCCTGCTCCAGCCAATTGCCCCTCGACGGGCGCTCGAACATGCTCGCCGAATCCATGATGACGTCCCTTGTTTCCGCGCGCGACCGACTTTCCCTGGGCGTTCTGGCCCCCGTGCCGCCCACCTCGCGGCCAACGCTCCCCCACGGTTCGCCGCTGACCCTCGGACTGCCGCCCGGGCCCGCTTCCGCCCCCCGGCACCCTCCGCCCACGCCCGTACTCCCCACACCGCGCTCAGCCCCACACTGCCCCGGACTGCGACCCCGATCGTCGACCGGACTGGGCGCCCTTGTGCCCCGCCCAGGGCCCGCTAGCCGGGACGTCGACGGCGTGGGCCCAGAAATGGCCACCGGAGCGGGGATTGCGATGTGGCCCGAGGCGCCGGCGCCCCCGCGTACGGCGCCCTGCACCGGCTGTGGAGCGCCGCTCGCGTAGAACACGTCCTCCGCGACGTTCACCTCATCGGCGTCTTCCCCGGCCTCCTCGCGGCACTGGCGCTCGGCGGCGTCCCTGTAGGACGACCACAGCCCGCCGCCGGCGGCCTTGGCGTTGGGCTGGGAGAGCACGGCCAGCGGGTCGGGGCTCCGCTCGAACTCGCCCGACGACGGCGTGGACAGGGGGTACCCCGGGTCCGAGTCAGTCTCGCTCTGGGACGCCGCAACACGCGGCTCGGCCATTCGCCTGCGTTTGCCTCCCCCCGCACAGCCGCCTGTGCGCGCCCCCGGCGAGTGCGCGGAGGCATGCGCGACGGCCAACGGCGACCTGGCCGATGGGCCGGCGTCCCCAACTGAACCCGCGCCGATCTTGGGCAGCCGCAGGGATGGGCCGCACAGGCCCAGCCCTGCCTCCTCGCCAGCCACGGGCCACCCCCTTGCCTGGCGATCCGCTCCGCGCCCGCCCCCTGGCCCCTCCCCTTCCGCCCCCTGCCCTCTGTCCACCGCCGAGCCCACAGTTCGCCCCGCACTCTCCTTGACCGCCCTCATTCGGTCCGATGCCTCCTCTGATCCCCTCTCAGGCCTTCGGCCACCCCGGGGGGCGGATCCGCCCGCCGGGCGCGCGACGCCGGCCTCCGCGCCCTCCCCTTCCGACGACCCCGCGCTCTCCACGCTGTGGTACTCCTCAGACCCGCTCCGGCGCACCTCCGCGCCCAGCATACCGCTCAGGGGCCCAGCGCACCCGGACAGGGACCCCGGCGAAACCAGCCCCGGCTTTCCGCCCTCGAGCGCGGAGTCCATGCGCCAACGTCGTGCACCGGCCGGCCCGAGTCGACCGCGGGACGCCCCCGCTCTAAAGCATGCCTCGATGGTCGAACAGGTCAAATTTTGGTCCCAAATTCCGGGCCGGGTGACGGTGGTCGCCGGCTAGGCTCGTTTTGGGGCGCGTCCGGCGGATCGCGGCGGCTGGAGATCCACAACCTTGGGGCGGGGGGCCCGAGGCCGCTGGCCCGATCTCGCACAGGCGCGGCGTGGCACGCAATTCGGGCCTGCGGCGTAAAACGCGCCAAAAACGGCAAATGTCGTCAGCAAAGATCAAAGAAGGGGCCAGTGGGAGGGCACGGTCACGCCGGTCCAGCGGCGGTGAAGCTCCGACCCCGCAGGGCGCCGTCCCAGACAACTCACAGCTTTTTGTTCGGCGGCTCGGCCAGCACGCTTCCACACGCCCCTTTATTGCTGATCCTCCCTGTTGACCGCGAAGCCGCTCGGCCTAGCAAGGCGGGCATACGGAAGGGGGGCCCCCGGCGGGGAGCAGGGGGGGGGCTTGTGACGCCGGCGGTGGGTGCCCTGGGGCACGCGCACGGCTTTGCGCGTGAATTTTTTGAGTTGGGGCACCAGGTACGGGGGATTTGGGCCACGTGATTGGGCCCCCCGCGCCAGGTTGGGCGTAAGGGGCCCGTGGCGGCTGACGGACCGCATCAAAATGGGTTGGCCAGGAGGGGTGTGCGCTGCGTCAGAGGCAGGTGGCGGGAAGGGGTCGCCAACGGGGCGGGGAGGGCGCGGGGTGGGCGCCTGGGAGCGTCCGTGTGGCTGGGCGAGCGCCAGTGGGCCGGTGGCACAGATTTTCCGTGCGGAAACCCGGGGGGGGGGCAGCGACGCCGGACTTCCCTCCTGCGAAAAGCGGCCGCTGGGCGCGCAGAACGGCTGATTTCGGTGTTCATCCCCTTCGTCCACTGCGCCGTTTTGGCGCGGGGCTGTGGGATTGACGGCGAGCTGAAGCAGGACGTTATGCCGCTTTTCTTGCACCTCGGGCCCAGCAGTAGCTCCAGCAGCCCGGTGACGCCTGCACCTTTCGAGCGCTTGGGATCGCGACGCCCTCGCTGTCATGGCCCCCATTTCGAAGCCGCAATAGGACCCAAGGCGCGATTTGATGTCGGTGTGGGACGGGGCAAGGATTGTGAACCGTACCGCTCCGACGAAGTGCGGGCATCGCTCAGCGCGAGAGGCCGCTCTGCGGCAGAGGTTCGTGCAGGATCTGGCGCCCGCGTTCCCTCAGCTGCCAAAACGGGTCACCGGCCGATCAGCAGGCGAACGGGCCCGCCGCACCGAGCCAAGTCAAATCCCCAAACGCGAGCAAAGGGCATCCGACGACTCCCGTCAGGGCAACGGGCGGTGATTCAAGCCCAAGCACCGGCCGCATTGGTCAGTTGAAACTTTCTATTCGACGCCCAACGGCTAGGGGACCCCCGATGCCAAGTTGGCGACCCTGCTCCCGTCGACGAGCTGGGAGCAGGGGAGTGGACACAGGACTCAGCGACCGCGCTGCAATGAATCGTGTCACAATCGGCAAGATCGGCCGTGGGGGGTGCATGCCCGGATGACTGTGGGGCCCCAGGTGGTGCGTTGGAGAGCACGTGGACTCTTTGCCGACCCCAAGCTGGCGGTGGCCATGGCCATGTTGCGGCCGAGGATGAGGTTTTGTTTGTGTCTCGCGGCCCTTTTTAGGTGAATACGACACCACCGCGGCGCCGCGTTGTGCTTGGCAGGGAACATAGTCCGTGACAATGATGGCCCTTTCGGTGGTACCGGAAGGAGCAAAAGTGCGTAATGCGCTGTTCACCGCTGGCGATGAATACAAGTGGGAGCTTCCGCTTGTCCGATCTCCAGCGGGAGGCGTTTCGTGGGGAGGGCGCCTTTCCTTACGGTGAGGGGTCTCGCGGTGAGGGATCTGACGTCAAGGGGTCTCGCGGTAAGGGGTCTGACGTTAGGGGTCTCCCACAGGGAATGTCGACAAGCAATCTTATGTCTTTGTTGTCGATGGGATTAACATGCAGTTGATGGGATTATGCCTTGCAGGTCTCCTTCACCCATCCCCACCTTGTCCTCCCACGGGCGGCACGTAGATTAGTGCAATACTGTAATTTGCTACCATCCCTCCGGTGCCCCTGTCGCAAGTGGGCACAGGCGCCCGGTGCTTAGCTGGCAAACCCCCGCCCCCCTCCCCCCCCGGCACCACATCGCCACCCGCACCACTGTTTTCCCAACGCTTACACAATCACTGGGGAACCATCACCACCTGTGCCGCCCGGTGCGGGTAAACCACCAGCGCCTGTGCCCAGATGCTTACATAATTACTGGCAAGCACATCAGCGCTTGTTCCCCCAATGCTTTGCATTATAGCAGGGAAACCATCGACAGCGGTGCCCAGCGCCAGAAACTCAGGGCCAGGCGCGGGCCGCTGTTTTGGCTGAGCAGGCCCCCCAGGGCCAGCGTGCGGTCGGGGGCGGTCGGGGGTGAGGGGCTAGGGGATCGCGGCATAGTGCGCGGGGGCCGAAATGGTGCGTGTGGAGGATGGGCGGGCGATGACTCTTCCTAGGTTACTTTGATCCGATTCATGTGGTGCCGGCGCGCCCCTCCAGGGCGGTGCAGTGAAGGTGGGCAGGTAGTGCCCCGTGGCCCCTTGCACGCTCTGTCAACCTTGGCGGGGCGCCGGCACAAAGCGCACACGTGTATCTCGCTTTTATTAAACCCAGTAGTATCGTCGTCGGGGGCGGTAGAAAAGGAGGCGGACGGGCCTTAGTCGTCGAGGACGGGGGGGGGATTTGAGTCCAGGCGAGGGCGCCGTTCGAGCACGCAGGGCCTGTTGGGCCAGGGCGGGCAGCCAACGCACGCGAAAGCTCGCCAGCGTCTATGGTGCCATGCGCGCAGGGTTTCAGGACAGCGCCAAAAAGTGGCAATCCACCTAGGCACCAACAAGAGGCGATCCCCCTTCCCAACGTGACATGCCGTTCGACCCGTGCTGAGCGCTATTCCCTGGCGATTAGCTGCTAATAGCTGCTATGCTGCATAGCATCCACCCTGGCCACCCCGCCTAACAGCCTTGCTCAGCCCTATCGGATAGCAGACTATAGAATAGACTATCGGATAGCAGACCATAGAATCAAGTCCCCCGTCCATGGTTGCACATGTTGGAGGCGACTGCTTTGCAGGCCCGACGAAAACGCCCCTGAATTTTGCAGCAGATCTACAACCCCCCAAGCTGCACCTGTCCAGCATAGTGCAATGGAAATACTTCAGAGAGATTAACGCTGCCCCCTCAAACCACAAGCTTGCGCCATGCTGGGCCGGGCCTACCAGCCATTGCCCCATTCTCAAGCACATGATCTTCGCCTAAAGGGAGATGGAAATTAGAGATTCACATAGTGCTTTCGGCACATTTGCTCGCCACGCGGGCTGAACCGCGCACTGGGATCTGGGCATGGCGACCAAATTTGGGAAGCTGCTTCCGGCAATTCTGCACAATTTCTCCAAAATAGCATTCTGTATGGGGAGGCTGCGCTTGGCAACGCCCCGCACGCCCTATCCTCAAAGGCCAGACCTCCGTCGGGCTCCCTCTGGTTGATTGTCAGCAGAATTTTCCAAATGCTCCACGGTCAGCACAACCTCCATCAATGGCCTCGCCAATTCGTCGATGGGCAGCAGCTCTCAAGGTCACTAGGACAAAAAAAGGCCAAATAACACGTGTTCAAACGTGTACAAAGTTTATGGGTTTGTGTTATTTTTGTGTTCTTAGCGTGCAGAACTTTGATGAAATGTGTTTTATGTGTGTTTGCAAAAGTGTTATTTGGCCCTTTTTTTCGTAGTGGGTGTTTGGAGTGTTGCACACCATGGGGACACGAACACGGCAGGCAGCGGCAGCCTCCAGGGACACTGGGCACAGCGCCGTGTCGCGCTGTTCTTCCTGGCTCGTGAACTAACTGTGCAAAGGGCACGGGCAGTGCCGCCTCTATGTATAGGGTATGCGACAATTTGATGGATGACGCTGCACAGGGCCTTTGGTGACCAGCTGTACTAAAGCTGGTTGGGCGGTTTTCGTGTTCGCGCCCAGCTTTACTGAAGCTCGCTGCTTCTGCGCTGTTCTTGCGCGACCAGCTTCAGTAATCCCATCACCCACTGAAGGTAATCTACTGGGGGCCCGCCCTGCGCCTCGGACAAGATGGGCGATGTTGTCCTCGGCCCGGTAAAACAAGCGGATGTGGCCCTTGGGTGCTTTGCGCCTTCGGGCCACATCTCGCCTGTTTTGCCGGCCCATGGACAACATTTAACCCATGTCCACACGGACATTACATTTGGAATCACCTGTTATCCGGCGCCACCATGATCCCGGGACTCCCAAAAATGACTGTGACCTTCCTCTTCGTGGAACACCACGCTTGACTAACAGGTGGCTCAGCTCCGAGCAA